TGTTTTTGCTCTGGAGACAAAGGACTACCAGAAAGTGCCAAGACATAGAGTAAAGCCGCATTGTTAGGCCCTGCCCTGGAGACCACAGAGTCTAATGCTGAATGGAGAGTCACAAAGCCCTTAGTGGGGGCTGGAGGAAATAAAATCCCAGGGAAATCAGTCACTATTTTGAGAAGCAGAAAAACATCTCTGTTTCTTGTAGCTTGGATTCCCATTGTCTAAGAGAGAAGTCGCTGAGTCACCCAATCACTCATGATCTCATGGAATCCATTAGCTCTGGCTGAGTCTCACTCATCTATCAGCCACTATGATCAGATAAAGTGGAATGGTGTGATGGTTGGAGAAGGCCCAGAAGACCTGGCTTTGGGCAAAGGCAGTGAGTGATTTGGGGGCAGGGAGAGGAGAAGCAGTACATTTTTTCTAGCTCATAAATTGAAGATGAAATCACCAGAAAGGGCTGCCAATAAAGCAATGCCCAGTAATCCTGCACTCGGGCAGAATTCTAAGGCCAAAGAGGCCCTGGAAGATTGGTCCTTTGAAGGGAGAATATCACCTAACACAATTCCAAGCACAAGGAGCTACTAGGACAGCCAACAGGAGACTAAGGTGAAGAATTTGCTTATGAAGCTTTCTTGAAGACCAAACATATCCATCTCCTCCCGCTGCCAAGGTGATCAAGGCCAGGTATTTTGACTTACACAATCTAATAGCATGAGACTGACCCTGAGGGTGAAGAGATAAATCATCGCATGACCTTCCTGCTGAAAACTTGAGAGAGCATTAAGAGGGTGGGAATACTAAAGATGTTATCCTCTGTGAGGGTGAGACCGGTGTGGTCTTTCGCTTCCTGTGTCCTTGAGGCAGCTCCAGAGAAAATGAAGGTGAGGGATGAGGGAGGCATCTCAGCCTGTGGGTAAGTCCAGGTCCTCTTTCTCAAAGTGTGGAGCAATGGTCAGAAAATACAACGGGTTTCAAGAACCGGCCTCTGCTAGGAAGATCCAACCCATTTCCAATTGGCTATGATATTTATGAAGCAAGGCAAGCCAGCAGAGTTTAAAATCCTAGGAGACACACTGATAACATGTGATAACCCAGCTTCAAAAGTTAGGCTCAATATGACAGTGAGAGAATCCAATAGGATCAGAGGGGACGTGGCTGCGCTTTGGAAAAGGTCAAGTGCGTGGCCAGTGGCAATGGTCCTTATTATTATCAAACCCCTCGGTCCCATCCTGGGAATGAGGGCACAAAGGGACAGCTCCCAGCAGAAAGTGTTGAGACATGGAGTAATCACAAGCTTTCCTAAGGTCACAAGATGAGTCAGTCGCAGACAAGTAATCTGTCTTTGCCTCAATAAATTTCCCTACTTAGTGAGTTTGGACAGCTCAAAGACAGCTTTAGTGCAGATAAACAAGCTTGTCCACAGTGGAACAAATGAGCAAGAGGTAGCACACTCTGCCCAGTGTCATTTCCTCCTCCCTACCTCTATAAAAAGCTCCCCCAGAAATGTTTAAGCCCCAGCTGAGTCCATTAACAGACCAAACACTGGAAGCCTATTTCAAATAGAAGGCGAAGTTTTAATGTGAATGCTGTCCCCACACGCCCCTCAAATTCAGATCTTTCCCTTCTCCAGTCTCTGTCAGTTCCCCCAGACAACTCTAAATAATAGAAAAGACTCTGAACTTTTATCTTCCCTCCAGTGATAGAAACTTTGCTCCCTTTCAAGCCAGTGGCTGCTGCTTCGCAGTCTCCAGAATAAGTTTCTTCCCAGAAGGCACCTCATTCCCTCATGCAATAGAGCTCCTGGGAGGTGTGCCCACCGATGTTTCAGACATATTTAGATGTGGGAGAACCCTGCGTGTGCAGCCAGACTGGGATCAAGGGAGAAAAAGGTAACAAATATGAAGTGCCTAGCATAGCACCTGTCGAGTACATTCTGGCTTTTATTCATGACTACATAGGGAATTCACCAATAATTTTTTTATTAAAGTATTTCTTTTCAATATATATATTTATTTGTTTTAATTTAATTTTTTTTTTTGAGACAGATTCTCACCCTGTCTCACAGGCTGGAGTACAGTGCTTGGCTCACTGCAACCTCTGCCTCCTGGGTTCAAGTGATTCTCCTACCTCAGCCTCTGGAGTAGCAGGGATTACAGGTGCCCACCACCATGCCCAGCTAATTTTTGTATTTTTAGTAGAGATGGGGTTTCATCATGTTGGCCAGGCTGGTCTCAAACTCCTGACCTGAGGTGATCCGCCCACCTCAGCCTCCCAAAATGCTGGGATTATAGGCATGAGCCACTGTGCCCGGCCCTTATTTATTTATTTTTGAGACAGGATCTCAATTTGTCCCCTAGGCTGGTGCGCAGTGGTGTAGTCATGGCTGGCTGCAGCCTCAAACTCCTGGGCCCACGCAATTCTCCCACCTCAGCCTCCTGAGTAGCTAGGACTAGAGATGTACACCACCACACCCAACTAATTTCTTGTAGAGATGGGGTTTTGCTACATTGCCCTGGCTGGTCTCAAACTCCTGGCCTCAAGCGATCCACCTGCCTCGGCCTCCCAAATCAGTGGGATTACAGAGGTGAACCACCATGCTCAGGTTCTTTTAAATTTAATTAAGAGCCTATTCTCATCTAGGCACTGGGCTAGGAGGGATGGAAAATGACAAATACATATAATTTGATTTCTACTTTAGGAAGTACAGAATTTAGAGAGGAGAAAACACACCTAGTCCGACATAGTACAGAGTTCAATAGAATATAAGTTGAAAGAAGGTCTAAACAAAGTTCTGAGGAAAGTAGATTCCTTTTCCTTGGTGGAATGGAGCAGGTGGCATCCAATGAAGTCTGGAGACTGTGCAGTACCTTCTACCACTGCACAAGGCAGCATCGGGATTCCGGAGGAAGGGGGAGATCTGGGGAAGAGGAGGGAATGCCACACTTAGGGATAGTGGGCTGGAAAGAGGTGAGAGCAGGAATGACAAACCAGTCTGGAAATGGAAGCTGAGGCACATTCCTGATGGCTTTGAGATGAAGGGACACCAACTAGAGGGCTATCGTAGCAGTCTGAGTCTGACCATAACCGCTCCAACTAGCGTGGGACTTGAGGAGCCGAAGGAAGGAAGCAGGCAGGAGCCAACCCAAATGTGTGCAGCATGGGGGATATGTGGGAAGTGGATGAGGCCTGAAATAGCTGCCTGCCCTGGGGCGAGGACTAGCACAAGGCCACAGAGGGTTGTGACATTGCTCTTCGTGTCTCTTCTCTCTAGCAGGTATGTGGTTGGAGCCTCTGCTGTAAATCTCGCCCTGAGTACTATCTGGAGACAGGGCTTCATTGGAGGACAGCTGCACATCTAATTTTAGGTTCATGCTAGAGAAGTAGGGCAGGTTTAATCTCCACGGGAGGGAGGAGTCATAGTGACACAACACTGGGCATCTGCTCCTACAAAGGCATCCCGGAATAACTCTCCCATAGCATGCTGGCGTTTGGAGGGTGATACTTAGCAGAGCTCTCCATGTCCCCTGACATGTCACTTCATCCCCTCCCTGCAAGACTCCCTCAAGCCCACAGGTTCTGTCATCCAAATGGCTTGGGTAGAATTCATTTGGGTATGTCTTAGTTACTATTTTCAGGATAGAGTTTGTGAAAGATGAAAATTGGCAGGAAGTTCTCATCTCCAGACTCTTCACCAGCCTCTGCCACCTGATCCGCAGCAGACAACCAGGCACCCCATAGTATCTGCATTAATAATGATTAACAATGTCACAGCATGTCAAAGCACACAACGTTTTTACACATTATTTTTTATTGCCCACAACAAACCTAGGAGGTAAGACTTGACATTCATGCTTTAAGAAATGTCAAAGTTTAGTTAAGAAAAGTTAAATGACTCGCCAAGGAATCTTCTAGAAGGAGGCTGACAGAGCAGGTCTTCCAATTTCATTACCTTTGTTCTTATCTTGCTGTTGATGAGTGAGGATAAGATAGAAAACAAGGTAGCTTTGGGAAAGAATTCAAAAGCAAAAGGAATAGATATTTAGCCTTTGAGAGGAAACAGCCATTTGATGGAGGAGAAAGACTCCTCTATCATTAAGCAAATTGTTCCATGGGTATGAGCCATGTAGATTTAAGCAAGCTTTAACTGCATATGATTGTCTTACTTATGATGGCTTTAGAAATAAAATGCTGGAAATAGACTGTGTGAGATACACCCGTGGTGGCTTAAGAGCTGAGGCTCCTGTATCAGACAGAGTTTAAATCCCAGCTCTTTCACTTAAAACCCAGCATGTTACTTAACTTCTTTCAGTTTCAGTTTATTTTCCAGTAAAATTGGGAACAATAATGGTACCTGCCTTGCAGAGCAGATGAGAGGCTCAAAGGAGGTAATGCATGCTAAGAGCTTAGCACAGTGCAGGGCACCTAATAAACACCATGCCAATGACAGCTATATTGTAACGGATGCTGGAAAAGCCTCTCTCCTACAGAGGTTTGGTTTTAATATAGCATTTGACTGCAGAAAGGGAGCCATCTTGCCCAAAATTTATGAAACAAACCAGACATATAGAAATACGCCCGAGGTCCCTGGAAGGCTCCTTTTGTTATTAGAAGCACCCCACCCCCACTCTTATTAATCCCTGGTATTACTTTCCCAATTGCCTCTGGAACCTTGATCAGATTTGTGCCTGAATTCAACTCCCTTTGCAGGAGGAAAAGAAAGCAATAACAAATGACAACTAATGTGAGTCTCTGAGGAGGAGGTGTCTATGCTTTGTTGATTTCTCCCAGCTACCAACAAGCTTAGCCTGAATGAGGAAGACAACAGAAGCTCCCAGAAAGGAGAGACCTAGTGCCTTGATGCCCATGGTTATGGGAAAAGGGCTTCCTAGGGGAGCCCTGCAAACAACATGGTGCCCACATGGCAAACAAGAGAAAACTGAGTGAGACGCGTATGTGGATGAGCCCAGCAGACGTCACGCAGATTTTCACATAACCTAAGGAAGAAGCCAGACATTCCTGATCTTCTGAACAGCTGAATTATGACAGCATCACATTAGAAGAAGCCTTGTGGATAGGGCGGAAAGGTCACAGATTGGTGACCAAAGAACATGTTGACGCTGCAGATGTCAGCAGCAAAGGCCTGCACACAGTGATAAAAATGAGACATATCCAAATCACATATATGTCCAAATGGACACGAGATGACAGAGGACAATCTGTGTTTGTCCATCAACACACGAGCACTACCATGACTTCTTAGAACTCAGATGCACTTGAGGAAGAAGGGCAGAACAGTGAAAACCCTGAATGAACCAAAGAATCACTAATTGGCATTAGATTCCCGATAAGACACTGCTTTATGTTTCCTGTTATCTGACATAAATGTAAATTCAAGACAGAGTAAAGTATAATATTATTGAAAATACAGAAATTTTTTTTGGTCCGTGATTTTTTTATTTTGAAGTTTTTACCTACTAGATGTGGGTCCTTAGTAGAATTTAATTGAATTTCACTTTGCAGTAAATTCACACCCTAGAGAAGATGTTTCCAAAATGAAATACATAAAACACTGACCCCCATTCTTCCCCTAAAGTTGATCTCAAAAAAAAAAAAAGGAAAAAGAAAAAAGACAGTTCCTGACTAAATAAGTTTTTGATTAGGGTATACTAAATAACAGATATTTTCTTTTTTTTTCTTTTTTTTTTTTTTTTTTTTTTTTTTTTTTTTTTTTTTTTTTTTTTTTTTTTTTTTTTTTTTTTTTTTTTTTTTGAGACGGAGTTTCGCGTTTCGCTCTTGTTACCCAGGCTGGAGTGCAATGGCGCGATCTCGGCTCACCGCAACCTCCGTCTCCCGGGTTCAAGCAATTCTCCTTCCTCAGCCTCCCGAGTAGCTGGGACTACAGGCATGCGCCACCATGCCCAGCTAATTTTTGTATTTTTAGTAGAGACGGGGTTTCACCATGTTGACCAGGATGGTCTCGATCTCTTGACCTCGTGATCCACCCGCCTCGGCCTTCCAAAGTGCTGGGATTACAAGCGTGAGCCACCGCGCCCAGCAACAGATATTTTCAATATGTGTTGGCTTTACAAAGACTCTGAGAATTCTTACAGTAAAGAAACCAGTATTCAATCCATTTCTCAACTTATTGGATGAGAATTTTTTTTCACTAAGATGTAGTGTATTTCACTCTAGGAAATGCTTGGTGTAGAGAGTTGCAGGTGAGAATGGATGATAATGGCATAACTGCGGTGACCCAAGAGAAAAATAATCAGGTGGAACATGAGCTTAAGATTGATGCTGGGATGCAGGAAATATCATGGTTGAGCATGGAAATGTTACTTGCCAAATGACCCCATCTATCTTGGAAATTGGCTGAATTTCTTCTAATATTCTTTCAAGGTCCTCGCTGAGTCACTCCCATAAATGATGGATCTTAATGGTCCTGAATATCTCTAAAGCCTTCATGTCTAACCATCTCCCTTTATAACTTGATGATTCACTCCACTCCAGCAAGCAGAGGCAGAGAGAATAGGCTGAGTTTCATTTTCCAATCATAAAAATACATCTCAAGACCAGCACATGACCATGATGGACTATTATAAGGCCCAGAACTCACGCCAGAAGTTTAACTGGCTGACTCTTTAGAAACCCTGTCATTTCTGGAATGTCTTTTGAGGATTATATTTATTTATGGTAGATTTGCTGTGAGTAAAAAGTAGATACCTGAGGGCTTCAGGCAAAAATAACATGAGGTTACCAGTGTGAAAGATCTGGATTCAAATCTCAACTCTACTATTTCCTAGCACGGTAACCTTGGATAAGGCTCTCTCCACATTTTGACTTCCTCATCTGGGGTTATCATGAAAATTAGAGGAAATGACCCATGGGTGTGGAGGGATGTAGGCTGGGAAGCAATAAAGACATTGCACCACATTTCCAAGGGAGAAGTCATCACTAAACGGAGCTAGAAGCACTATGAAAATACACATGGGACAATCTCCATCTCTCCATGTGTTACGAAAGGGGCAGAAGTATTACACAGCACTCTGTACCTGATTGATCGGGTGCGTTTTCGGGTGTAAGGAGTAATAACCTTGAAAAGCAGTTCCATGGCTCCATTAATTCCCAGCATGGCTCCCGTGGAGACTAAGAAAGACAAAAGTACTGTAGTTATAGCCACGAGTGGATGAGGTAAGGTTCAATACAACTTGAATTGACTCCTTTACGTCTTTAAAAGGGAACCTGATAAACAAGACAGCTCCCTTTCTTTTCTACCCTGGTTGCACGTTTCCCTATAGTTTCATACTTTGGTCTCCCATGACTAAGGTAATGACTTGACTATGGACTATACCTCAACTAGAATGTCAAACGAAGAATGAGTTCTTCCCGCTCAGCGGTAACTAGGCTGGGAAGTTTTTGCCTTTTTGCCCAATTGAGTGGTTATAAAAGCATTGTCGTAGATCTGAATGATAGAAAGAAACTCAAAAGAGGTATCTGGTTAGATAAATACAACTTTTTGATGTCACTCTTGTCTCCAAGGATGCCCCAGACTCTCTCCAATATTCCCAGGACCCGACTTCACTTAGATCACTTTAAATAGAGCTCTGCTCATGTCAAAAAAAAAAAAAAAAACAAGATAAGTCCAAAGGACACAACATAGAACCAGTAAGCAAGGGGGGCAAAATATCAGAGGGAGAAGGAAAGAAGGTTATCTTCCAAGGTGTGACTCTCGTCCGTCTTTCCTCCATTGCACTTGTGTTTTTTAAGACGAAGACCTGTGAATGCCTTGTGCTTTAGGCTAGCCTTGATCTGAGAAAAATAAGTGGAACAAGAGGTCTTAGAGAAGCAAAGAGAGGAAAACAAGGGTGGCTGATACTGAATTGCTTCAACCGTCAGGAAAGGAAGTCAAATGGAAATCTGAAGACTCCTCATCCGACTACAGTCTATCAGATAGGGACTGAGGCTGATGTCTTTGCTATTGCAGAGTGCATGTTCCTGGAACATCCCCTACATATATGTCCCTCCTGAAGCTAGTACATGAAGTAATTGCCTGGATCAAAATTCAGAGATTTGGCATCCTAGTCCTGACCATCAATCTTCCACTCTTGTGGCTACTCACTCAGCTCTTACTTCCGAATTGAGAAAACATATTAGAGAAAACTTTTGGCAAGTAATTCAACAAAATTCTGTTAATCGAGTTAAGGAAGATTTAATTTTAAATGCACTGATTCTAACATGAAAGACTTTAGGCATGGAACCGGAAGAGGATAACAATAAGAAATCTTCACTGAGTTCGCCTTTGTGGATGCCTGTCCAAGGTTACATCTCCGGCAGCTCTGTAAACATCCTCACTGGCCATCTTAGAGCTTCCAAAGGGTTCATTGGCTCTCACAGGCCCATTAGGGTTCCAGCCAACTCCTTCTGAAGATAGGAGCTATTTAGAAAGCTTTGCTGGAACATTCCACAGTAGCTACCAATTCACGGAAGAGATAGTAATCCACAGGCTTCTTGAACTGTGCTTGCCTCTCATCTGTAAAGCCGATGTATACAGATTGACAGTATAATTTTTTAAAATATCTTATGGAACAGTGAGTTGGTACAATCAACATAGGCTTAGAGGATGAATCAAATAGCTATCTCCTCATACGCACAGGAAAAATCCCAGGACTTCTCACAACTCCAGCTGAAGAAATTGTTCAAAATCTCCATAACAATTATATTTAAGGAAGGCAAGCTTTTCAGCCTAATTATTCTTTAGGAAACCAGAAAATGCTTCCAATTTTGTTCTGCTGGCATGTTGCAAATGTGGATGGCATACCTTCTAACTATTCATTAATGAGAGTTGTGCTTTATACACGGCCACAGTTCCTCTTTTCCTTTATTAGATACGAGTGTATAGAGATTTATTCAGCCTTTCCCTAATGCTCTCTAGTTTTCAGGTCAATATATGGGAGATGGGTGAATAGAGGCTCCACCTGTGAACAAGAATTCAAGTATCTATCCCATTATTCCCCAGGAAGACTTTCTCTTTATGAGTCCTCCATGTCTATTAAGAGAATTTACTAATGAAAATCAGGTTATTGTGGCCGGGCACAGTGGCTCACACCTGTAATCCCAGCACTTTGGGAGGCCAAGGTGGGTGGATCACCTACGGTCAGGACTTGAGGATCAGCCTGGCCAACATGGTGAAACCCCGCCTCTACTAAAATACAAAAAATTAGCCAGGCATGATGGCAGGTGCCTGTCATCCCAGCTACTTGTGAGGATGAGGCAGGAGAATCGCTTATCACTTGAACCCGGGAGGCGGGGGTTGTAGCCGAGCCGAGGGCACACCAGTGCACTCCACCCTGGGTGACTTGGTGAAACTTTGTCTCAAAAAAATGAAAAGTGACAAAATAAATTTCTTTTTTTTTTTTTAATTTTATTGCATTTTAGGTTTGGGGGTACATGTGAAGAACATGCAAAATTGTTGCATAGGAACACACGTGGCAGTGTGATTTGCTGCCTTCCTCCCCATCACCTACATCTGGCATTTCTCCCCTTGCTATCTCTCCCCAGCTTCCCACCCCCCACCGTCCCTCCCCTATTTCCCCCCAACTGACCCCAGTGTGTAGTGCTCCCCTCCCTGTGTCCATGTGTTCTCATTGTTCAACACCCGCCTATGAGTGAGAACATGCGGTGTTTGATCTTCTGCTCTTCTGTCAGTTTGCTGAGAATGATGGTTTCCAGGTTCATCCATGTCCCTACAAAGGACCCAAACTCATCGTTTTTGACGGCTGCATAATATTCCATGGTGTATATGTGCCAAATTTTCCCTATCCAGTCTATCGTCGATGGGCATTTGGGTTGGTTCCAGGTCTTTGCTATTGTAAACAGTGCTGCTATGAACATTCATGTGCATGTGTCCTTATAGTAGAACGATTTATAATCCTTTGGATATATACCCAGTAATGGGATTGCTGGGTCAAATGGAATTTCTATTTCTATGTCCTTGAGGAATCGCCACACTGTCTTCCACAATGGTTGAACTAATTTACACTCCCACCAACAGTGCAAAAGTGTTCCTATTTCTCCACATCCTCTCCAGCATCTGTTGTCTCCAGATTTTTTAATGATCGCCATTCTAACCGGCATGAGATGGTATCTCAATGTAGTTTTGATTTGCATTTCTCTGATGACCAGTGATGATGAGCATTTTTTCAGATGTTCGTTGGCCTCACGTATGTCTTCTTTTGTAAAGTGTCTGTTCATATCCTTTGCCCACTTTTGAATGGGCTTGTTAGTTTTTTTCCTGTAAATCTGTTTTAGTTCTTTGTAAAGCCACACAGACTGTGGTATTTTGTTAAGACAGCCCTAGCAGAGTAATAGTAATCATTATTACACTATAGTTTTGTAAAGGATGAAACTGAGGTCCCATAGGTTAAGTACTCATGTTTCTTGACTCATAAGAAATAGAATCACAGTCAAACTCAGGTCTTTTTGGCTCTAAGCCCACATTCTTTCGCCTACAGACTATAGAACCTCTAAATAATTGGCACTTTCATTTCACAGGAAGGGAACTCAGAAAGGAGAAATGAAAGTCTATGCTCATTATATATGAGACAGAAGCTATAGGATCTAATGTATTAATAAAAAGTTTCCATATGGAATAGAATTAAAATGAGTTCTGGAGTTAGAAATTATGCCCTCGTGAGTTTGTATCTGTATGAATTCAAGCAATTGCTTCACTTTTTTTTTTGTTTTTGAGACAGGGTCTTGCTCTGTTGCCCAGGCTGGAGTGCAGGGGCATGTTCATTGCTCACTACAGCCTTGACTTCCTGGGCTCAAGTGATTTTCCTACCTCAGCCTTCCAAGTAACTGGGATTACAGGCACGTGCTACCACACCCAGCTAATTTTCTGTATTTTTAGTAGAGACCAGGCTGGTCTCCAACTCCTGGGCTCAAGTGGTCTACCCACCTCAGCCTCCCAGAGGGCTGGGATTACAGGCGTGAGCCACCATGCTCAGCCTTGCTTCACTCTAAATTTTTCTTTTTCTAAGCTATAAAATTGTGGGTCTAAATACAAAATTGTTATGATAATTAGAAATAAATCAGGAGTCAGCAAATAAGTATCAACTGGGCTATGATGTTCCTAATAATTACCTGGAGGACCCTGTTGAGAAGGACCATGGGGTTTTTTTTTTTCAATGGTAAGGGACGTTGTATTCAACAAGTAATTTCAGGAATATGGTAGAGAGGTTTGTGATGTGAGAGTCATTTTGCCCAGATACAACACTTGAATATGACTAGGACTAAATAAAGTCTGTCCTTCTCCTGTCATAGATCTTTTTTACCTTGTAGTACTAATAGAAAAGTCTAGAATGCTATCATGTGTGATACCCAAGGAGAAACACTATTGAAGTCTATCTGTAGGACCAGACAAGAGCTCTGCCTGGCTAAGGAGAAGATGAAGAAGTAACTTCTCACCTCCACGGTGTCTGGGTTGTCAGCCTCCTTTTATTTATCTGACTGGGACCACCATGTGTATCACCCACCCATGCCTTTCTTCCAACCAGACCCTCACGCAGTTTCCTTGTGTCCCTGCCCAGGTTTGGAAGCCATCCCCGAGAGTCACAATAGAGTCACTCACCACTGGAGGCAAACACACGCAGAGCCCAGAGACAGTGAAGGAGGTTCTGGCCATGGGATAGGTTCTTCCTGGCCAGAATCAAGGTGACATCAAGTGCTTCCAGTTCCAGGGCCTTCCGTCCAATCTTTTTATCTAAGAACACAAATCAATCTAGCTTAGTGGCACTCCACATTGATTCTGGATGGTATAGTGTGTGAAGTGGAGGAAAGGGAAGATGGTGAAGGAGGAAGATAATCATAGCCAAAGACATTTTTCAGACCTAGTGACAAATGCTGCTAAATGTGTCCCCACGAGAACCAAATGAATCAAAAGAGCTAATTTGGGCTACACATATTTACATGCAAGCTTGTGGGTTGAATAACTCTCAAGCCCCTATATTTAGGGTGTCCTCATACATTAACCACAGTTCAACTGGGAATAAAGTTCTTCCTTTAAGACAATTCTAGAATGAAGAATATTTAATATTCTTGATATTAATATAATTCTTGATATAACATTAAAAAGTAATGTATCAACTTGGATTGAATCTTCCTCTGAGTATGTCTGTAAAAGACAGTTGGGAACATGTGGAGAAACTGGAATAAATATAAGTTACGTGTGTATCTTTTATTTTATTAGGTTTGTAGTAATAGTAATTGTGATTATGTAGGGAAATGTCTCTTTTCAAAGAAATGCACTTGAAAGGATTTAGGAGGAAAATGCTACCCGTAATTTCTCTTAAAATATTTCAGATAAAAATAAATAGGTGAAGAAAATATGGAAATATGCTAACAACGGTTAGAACTAAGTTTAGGTACATTAGAGGACATCTTTCTATATGACAGTTTTCATAATAAAAAGTCAAAATATAGTTTTAAAAAAATAATTTTTTCCCTCTAATATTTCTAACTTACTGCTCCAAATAACCTAACTTCTAGTGTTACAAATAAGTCCTTATTATTTTAATAATTAGGAAATAAGCATAAAAAAGAAACATTTTCTTTTCCTTGTCCCCGCTACGATACCAGTCAATGGGTAATGTCTAATCATCATGTTTGTTTTTGCAAGAATACATCTCTATCAGATTCATCGCAGGTAGAAATGAATTAAACGGAAATAAAATCCTAAACCTGATTTACTGATATGTACCTCTGGGCCAAAGGACACCAGCAAAGAGGTTGCAACTAAACCTACATAACTGATTCCCTTCATCAGAAAAGAGATATCTATCCCATTCCTTCATGAGCATCCAACCTTATTTCTGTTCTGTTCAGGTCAGCCTAGAGCAACTTGAATGTCAGTGTCAAGGACTATAACCCCTTGATGGCAGAAACTGTGGTGATGTAATCACTACAATAGTAATATCAAGGTGAATAACTTGGAAATCACTGGCCTGGTGTATCTCTCATGTCTCTCTTTCTCCTATAAAACCTGTATGACCCTAGTTTTCCAGGGTCCTGAACCACATGCTAAGCACGTGACATATAATACCTTGTTTAATCCTCATATCGCCCTAAAATTAAGTAAAGTATCCACATGGGATTGGCTCCAGGATTCTCACAGATACCAAAATCCATGGATGCTCAAATCCCTGATATAAAATGGTATAGTATTTGCATACTACCTACACACATCCTCGTACCTTACATCATCTCTAGATTACTGTAATACTTAATCTAATGTAAATGCTACGTAAATATTTGTTATTCCGTTTTGTCTAGGGAATAATGACAAGAAAAAAGTCTGTACATGTTTAGTACAGATACAGTAGTTTAAGTATTTTCAATCCAAGGTTAACTGAATCCATGGGTGCAGAACCCACAGAAATGGAGGGCCAACTGTACAGATGACTCTATTTTACACAAAGATAACCCTATTTTATATAAAGGTACAATGCTCAGAAAGTTTAACTACTTTGCCCAAGGTCACACAGCTAGTAAGTGTCAGGGCCAGAACTGAAACCCAGGTCTGACTCCCCAGCTTACACTGTTTATGACCGAGGGATGTATCAGGTCTCTGTGATCCTTTCCTGGAGTTCACATGACCCACTCTTTGGTTTACTGATTTCTCATTCTTGAAGTTTTAGCTCAAATGTTACCTCTCCTGACCACACCAGTCTAGAGTAGCATCACTCTTGCTTCCTCTTACATCACTCATCATAGTCTGCTATTGCCAAGTTATTTGTGGATTTGCTGGCCTCCTCCACTTGAACATAATTCCATGAGAGCAGGTCCTTAATTTCCTTGGTCATCATGATGTTCCTAGTGCCTAAAGCACCTGACCCTAGGAGACATGCAGTAAATATCTGTTCAATATTCACTGAGTGAATTGTATTGATTTTTTTCTGGGACGTGCTCATGCAGGTGCTGGCAAAAAGCCTAGTGCTCCATCATTATCAGCAGAATGTTAAACAGACCCAAAGTGGAGATCCAAATATTGAAAGGAAGAGTACTCCAGAACCCATGGGCCCTTGGCTGCCACTGATAGCTCTGGACATCAAAGGTCTGCTTTTCAGAGGATCTGAGCTTCTCAGCTGTGACCTATATAAGACTCAGCACACAATTAGAACTTAACACTTGCAACTCATTTGCAATGTTTGCCTGAGTCCTAAGTGCCCATGCTTTTAAACTGTGCTCCAAGAACTTCTAGAATTTTAGGGAAATGTTTCAGGCTTTTCCTTGGTAAAAGAGAAACGTCTATGGAGCCAAAATGGAAAGAACTCTAGGCCCTTCCCCCATCTTCCCTTCAACTAGGAATGTTCCACTTCTTTGTGACTTGTAGTGGATTGAATAGCGGCCCCAAAACATTCATGTCCACCCAGAAGCTCAGAATGTTATTCTTTCCGGAAATAGGGTCTGTGCAGATTTTATTACTAAAGATTAGGTCATACAAATTAGAGTAGGCTCTAAATCCTACGACTGATGGCCTTACACAACAAGGAAAAGATACAGAGGAGAACCACATGTGAAGATGGAGGCAGAGACTGGAGTGAAACATCTACAGTCCAAGAAACAGCAAGGATTTCTGGAACCCTCAGAGGAGAGAGGCATGGAACCAATTCTCCCTCAGGGCCTCCAGAAGGAACCAAAACCTGCCAACACTTGATGTCGGACTTCTGATCTCCTAACACTCTTCTGTTATGTTAACCTAGTCAGTTCGTGGCCATTTGTTATGGCAACCTTAGGAAAACAGTACACTTGTATAATAGACTTTCTTTTTTTAACTTTTATTTTAAGTTCAAGGGTAAATGCGCAGGTTTGTTACATAGGTAAACTTAGGTCATGGGGATTTGTTGTATGGGTTATTTCAGCACCCAGGTATTAAGCCTAGTACCCATTAGTTATTTTTCCTAATCCTCTCCCTCCTCTTACCCGCCATCCTCCGACAGGCCCCAGTGTGCATGATGTTCTCCTCTGTGTCCATGTATTCTCATCATTTAGTTCACACTCATAAGTGACAACATGAGGTATTTGGTTTTCTGTTTCTGCTTGAGTTTGCTAAGGGTAATGGCCTCCAGCTCCACTCATGTCCCTGCAAAGGACATGATCTACTTTTCATAGCTGTATGATATTCCACAGTGTATATGTACCACACTTTCTTTATCTAGTCTATTACTGATGGGAATTTAGGTTGTGTCCATGTCTTTGTAATTGTGAATAGTGCTGCAATGAATGAATGCAAGCATCTTTATAATAGAATGATTTATATTCTTTGGGGTATATATGCCCACTAACGGGATTGCTAAGTTGAACGATATTTCTGTCTTTAGGTTTTTAAGGAATCACATTGTCTTCCACAATGGTTGAACTTACTTATACTCCTACCAACAATGTATAAGTGTTCTTTTTTCTCCACAGCCTTGTGATGCAACTTTTAGACATGTTCCATTTATTTTTTAAATAATTAAACACTGCGTTGGAGTACTCCTCTCCTTCCCCCCATATGGTCCATGCCCCATGTAGCCCATGTTTGTTCTGGGCTCTGTCCTGAGCACCATACCTTGGATGAGCTGACATCTAAGTCAACAAAACTGTTTCTCCTAAAGGTCTGGTCCTGCCATCACCACCAAGGTGTCCAGAACCTCCCTGCCACTTCCTCCCTGTGCTTCTCCACCAGAGCTTCCCAAATTGTACTCATCAAAACAACCCTAGAAGTGCCTTATTAGTTAGTTTTAGGTCTTGGAGTATGAGTACCTCTTAGGCCAACTTTGGCCAGCAGCCGGAAGAGAGGCAGGAGGATGTCATAGTCTGGAGGAGCTGTCCTCGCTGTGTCTACCAGGGTCTGCAGAAGAGCCTCACTGCCACCCTTGCTGATCATGTAGTGAATCCTCCGGTCTGTGCCTAAGGGGAAGCCAGAGGAAGGATGAGCCACAAGTAATAACCCCCATTTTTCTTGGAGCAGAAGACAGACCTCACAGCTAGAGACAGAGAAAGAATTAGTTCATTTCAACTATACAAAATTCTGTAGTTCTTAAAGCAACCTGTGTTAAAGTTGTACTATCAGGTAAGGAAAGAGGGTTGTGAAATAGAAAAATAGTGGAATATTTAAGAATCTAGTATTGGTCATCTGCAACACATGTAATATACAGAGCTTGCCTGAGAATCTGTTGAATATTTGGTACACGTGTGTATACCTGTGTGTACATGTTGTCATTTTCATATAGGCTTTTGTATTATCATATACTTAGAACAGGGAATATCAGTATCCCTCTGCTGTACATTTGAATCTTCTGTAACAAGGATTGGGATGATGACCTAATCTGGAATCACTGTATTGATGGCATAATGATTTTCTGATTTTCAGAAACTGATGGGAGAAAATTGCAGAAACTACTGGAGTAGTACCTTGAGAAAGAAACATCCAATCATTCTATCTAGGGAATTTTGAAGGAGTCTAGAGCTTTGATGAACTACTGGTCTTTCTACCTAAGTACAATTTTGAACAGGGGTCTCCTCCACCTTGCCCAAGGACAAAGTCAAAAGCAACGATTTCATTTCGACTTTCCCTTGGTTAATTCTCTCTATACACAGGGCAAAGTTGACCTAACCAAGGTGGCCAAGAGGGTGGGACACTATCAAAGAACAACATCTGATTTTTTATCCTAATGAAAAGTAGCATTCTCTGAAAGAGGTGCAGTAATCACCACCTTATCAGAGGGAGAACTTCAAGGTTTCATCCTAAGAGTTTCAGACACCTCTGAACAAACATAAGACAGCACTATCCCAGAGACAAGTGACTTCACTTACACAGACCCCACTCAAAAGACTAAATGGAAGTCATCCTGCTAATAGAAGGCAGTACAAACCATGGTAAGACCCCAATATGATGGGCCCCTTCCTCTTGAAGCCATAACCTTCAGGGTCTGTGGGTCTGGAGCGTCATTTATTTCTGACATTGCCTGTTCAGTGTTAACATCTATTTCTAGAGTAATGTGGCCAGCATACATAAAAATGCAAATTGAGTGAATGTCGGAATGTTTAAAAATCTCACTAGGAACTTGAGCTAATAGAAGCATGCTCCAGTTAACTCAGTTGATTCCAATGTAGTCGACTCTGTCATCTTATCTCTGAAAACGTGATGCTTACCCACTTCCAAGTTCAGCTCCTGCCTGATATTTCTGTCTCTACTTGAAAAGCTTCCGATACTTGGCTCTCTTAAATAGGCCACATGGAAGAGAGCAGAGGGAGAAGAGGGGTAGACCCACAGAAAGTTACTACTAAGTCTACTTTCCTCTTCAGTGTTGGGTAAGAAGACTGATTGTGAGTACAATCAGTCCAGGTTACTTGGGTCTCATTAACCTTAGAGAAAAAAGATAGGCTAGTGATGCTGCCTCTCACAGGAAACTGAGGCAAGAGCAAACCCCCAGGCCACGGAGGTCCCTGGGAGAGATCACAGCCGGGAGGCTCCGCGTCCACCCTATGAAAGCATGAGAGCATGGCCTACTCACCAACAGAAAGAAGATCTCCGAGGACCTTGAGGATGGTCAGGATGGACTCCTTGTCAGAGGAGGTCTGCAATGAGAATGCAGGCAGCCATATTTAAGAAGGAACGCAAGAGAAAAAAGTTGGATGCTCAGAGATGCAAGCGGAATGGCAGGACTCTACCTCCTGCCATGGAGAAAGACTTACTGCAGAGAAAGGACAGACAAGGGGACTCACTTGATCAGGGACCCAGGGGCTGCACCTCCCCCCATATTTAGTCTTCAGAACCCCTCTTTGCAGACCTAACTTGTAGTAACATCAGCAGGATGAATAAGAGAATCAGCAATAATGACTTATACAGAAAACAAGGAAGTAAAAGGGCTTCGTGGGCCAGGGCAGCACCGGTCTGTTCCTTCAGTAGGCTTGGCTTATTTTTACATGCAGCACAGAGGCAAGAAACAGAAATTCGCTAAAATGTTCTGATGCAAAGCCTCCCTGACTGACAAGAATGAACTCCTACTTTTCTTAAGAGAATCCCAGAGTGACACCAAATCCTATTATGAAAAAACTCTAAGGGATCTCTGCAATGCTTGATACTCTATCCTTTGTTATACAGAACAGAACCCTGAGTTCTGAGACAGTGTGGACTTGCTGAGTCTCCTTGCATAATACGTACAGAAAAGCCAGAAGTATAGCTCAGCCCAGGCTCCCAAAATCAGTGCAGTGCTCTTTGCATTACAAGATACTTGGAGGAGAGGGTGTTTTATTTAAAGCAAAGCCTTAATCTTCCCATTAATAAGACTCATGTTTCTCATCTGCTTCAAAGACCTCTACAATTCCCCATCACATATAGGATAAAGTCATAGCTCATTAATAAAATTTTCAAAGCTCTTTATGATCTTGCCCTTCTTATGTCTCCAGCTTCATTATTCATCATAACACCCCCACCTGAAATATATGCTTCAGTAACATGGAACTCCTTGGAAGTTTTCTGCTCAAACCATGCCATCTCATGCCTCTGTGTCACTGAGGATAAAAATTGATGACAGAACAATCTTCCTTCAGGGGGCTCCAGGCCTGGCTGAGAGGAACAGCTGGCATACAGGACCCAAGACAGCAACAGCTGTGACGAAGGTAAACCGGGAGAAGTAGAGAGAACGCTAGAAGGGAGCATTGAACCCAGGCAGGTCCATGAGTGATGACTCTTGAGAAACATTTGGAAGCTAAACAGGGTCAGGCCTCGCTGGTACTTGGATGGGAGACTCTTCGGAAACCAAGTTGAAAGGGGAGAAAAAGTGTTCCTGCTGTGATGTAGCTCTGTGTGCTCCAGGGGCAGCACCCAGAGCATGGGGAGGCTGGAGGATGGGTCCACCTGCAGTATGACCGGACTGAATAAAGCAGATGGTGAAGGGAATTACACATTATTTGTGGGCAAGAACTAGGTTTCATTCATCTCTCTGTTCCCACTTCACAAGGTGTAATAGCTAATCCATATATTTTATTAAATTAATTCCTCCAGCTAAGGAATGGCCTGCTTTATTACAATGCCCACTGATACTCCCTGAGAACAAGCATTGCTTCTACACTTCTGTTGTATCTGCCAGCAGGGATACAGAACTGGGCATATGGTATGTATTAAATCAACACCCTTAAATTGGTTTGACCTGTGGCCAACATCATATGCTGCACACACAGCCATTCCTCTGGAGTTGCCTAGAAGAAAGCCTCATTTGCCTCAAATACAGAATGGCCACGTGCCGACAGAGTATGTGGGTCCCTCTCCCCTGCCCAGGGAATGGGCCACGGCTCATCTCCTCTAAGCTTTCTCTCTTTCCTGTGGTCGGATTGGAGGTAGATATGAACCCAGATCAGGAATAGAAAACCCGAGAGGATGTCTGCAGGAGGATTTTGGAAAAAAATTTTCTCCAGGAGTTAAAAAAAAAAAAAATTTAAACAAAACACAAAAATATTTCCTGTGTTTGGACACTGTCATATGAAAAGACAATTTTGGGTCCTCAGTAAGTGTTAAGCCACCAGATCAACTCTATGGATCCACCCACCTGTTGACTTTCAGATAAGTGAAATAATGAATATCTTCATTTCTAAAAGCCACTTTTAGTAAATTTGGATGTGACGGAGAAAAGAACGTTTTACACCTCCATGTGCTCTCTTCCCAAGTACTGCGGTCTTAAAAAGTATGAAAGAAATTGGTTTCACAAAGCAACCAGAGAGTCAACTCACCAACAAAATCCTGCCATCCCATAGAAACTAAGAGACAGTGTGGTCAGTTCCTAATGCCCGCACTCAGCTCTGAGCCAGAATGGGGCAGCACAAAATGGTTTCACTTTAAGTAAAAATTACGGCTATCAGTGGAGAAAAATAATCTCAACCAGCATTAATTTATGTACTGCTACATTTACCAATAAACGTTTTATACTATTTAGAAAAATAACACAAAGCTGTTATCTCACCCACAGTAATAATAAATGAGCAATTAAAGAAGGCAGATGTGATGTGCCTCAGTTTTCCTTTAATGATCCTTTTAAATGAAACATCAAGTAATCCCTGGTTGTTGAAGACATTGCTATTAAAAAAAAAAAAAAATCTATCTACCAAGCTTTCAGGGAGACTCAGGGAATTGGAAGAACAGTGTCTTTCATAGTCTATGGGGTTTTGAACTGCAATTTTCTCAAATACTGTTTTGAGCGCGTCACTCCCTGCTTTAAAATCTTCTAAGTTTCCCTATTGCCTTCATCCTCTCAACTCCTCATCACGGTATAAAAATGATGGCCTTTGGGTGGGCACACTGGCTCATACCTGTAATCCCAGCACTTTGGGAGGCCAAGGCATGCGGATCACAAGGTCAAGAGATCGAGACCATCCTGGGCAACATGGCGAAACCCCGTCTCTACTAAAAATACAAAAATTAGCTGGGCATGGTGGCGCACGCCTGTGGTCCCAGCTACTTGGGAGGCTGAGGCAGGAGAATTGCTTTAACCCAGGAGACAGAAGTTGCAGTGAGCCAAGATCACATTACTGCACTCCAACCTGGGTGACAGAGCAAGACTCTGTCTCAAAAGAAAAGAAAAAGAAAAAAAGAAAATGATGCCCTTCACATCACTCTGCCTTTGGAGGCTCACCTGCAGCCACTCCTCCTATCTATGCCAGTGATACAGAACCAGTATTGATGCACCAAGAGCATCATGGGTACCTCTGCTCTCAAGTCTGGGCTCATGCTGATGCAGGCTTAAGTGTCATTTCTCCCCACTCCTTGGAGCACATGTTAATTCCCAGCTCCAGTTCCTTTTCTATATAGTTTTCCCTGCTAACCTGCCTTCCCCGCACCCATTATCTACAATTGCCACACGTCTGCTCATGTTGGGCACCACACAACTCCAGGGTGCTGCTCACAAAGATTACAACGTGATTGGTGCCCTGCCAAGCGGGGCAGTGTGGTGGCCTGGCCTCTCCAAGAACAGAACGATTTGTTCCAATTATTTGTTCTGTTTTCCAACAACACTTTGTAAATATCTTTTATTAAAATTCTTATTTGAACCTGATTATTTTCTTATATCTCTGTTCTGGTTGTCTATTGTGGGATAACAAACTACCCCAAAACTTAATGGCTTAGAACAATGTCCTTTTTATTACAGCTGTGGATTTTGTGGGTAGGTAAATTTGGCTAAAACTTGGCTGGGAGATTCTTCTGCTTCCCATGGTATTAACTGAGGTCACTCAGGGGCACTCACCTGGCAGATGCCCTAGACTGGAGGGTCTATGACAGTTTCAATCATGTCTAGCACCTTGGCAGGGACAGCTGGAAGACTGGGGATACCTTGGACTGTTGACCAGAATGCCCACAAATGTCTTTTTAAGCATAATAGTCTTAAGGCACTTGGACTTCTTCCATGGCTGCTGGCTTCCCCCAGACCAAGCATTCCAAAAGAACTGGGTGGAAGTTGCAAGGCTTCTTTTGTCTTAGCCTCAGAAGACCAAACGTTACTTCTGCTCCATTCTATTGATTAGTCAAATCAATCTGGATGCTAGTACAAATTCAAGGGGAGGGGAGTTAGATTCTACCCCTCAACTGGAGGCATAGAAAAGAATTTCCAGCCACTTTTAACCTTCCACACTCACTTTAGACTGTGAGCTCCTCTAGAGCCAGATTTTTCACTCATTCCTCTTGCCCTCCCTGATCCTAGCACGGGGTCTTTCACAGAGTAGGCATTCAGGAAACTATGGAATGATATGAGATAGAATTCAAACTTCATATGCAATCTGACAGAGCCTTGCCATTCTGTTCTCCTTGGTGCCAGGATGTAAATTCCATTCCAGTGAGAACATTGTTACAGAAGTTTACAAGGTGCACAGCTCAATTTTTCTGTCAATCTAACAACTGAGCAAGCAAATATAGAGTGGCTACCATACGTCGGTGTTTCAGTCTGCCTTTTGTGTTGTTACTTTTAAAACTTGAGATTGGGTAATTTATAAAGAAAAGAAATTTATCTGGCTCAAGTTCTGCAGGCTGTACGAGAAGCATGGCCCCAGCATCTGCTTTTGGTGAAAGCGTCAGGCTACTTCCGCTCATAGTGCAAGGCAAGAGGAGCCTGCATGTGCAGATCACAGGATGAGCAAGGAAGTGACAGAAGGAAGGGAGGTACCAGGCCTTTTCAACAACCAGCTCACGTGGGAACCAAGAGTTAGAACTCACTCACTCCTGTGAGAATGGCACTCAGCCGTTCATGAGGCATCTGCCCCTATGATCCCAATACCTCTAATTCCATAGTTTCCTGAATGCCTACTCTGTGCAAGGCCCCAGGACCCCATCAGGCCCCAACTCCAACACTGGGGTTCAGATCTCAACATGTGACTTCGTGGGGACAAACAAATCATATCCAAAACATAACAGTCAAACACAGTGTTAAAAAATAGGCACCATTGATACTATCGCGGTCTTAAAGCAGAGGGTAAAGAAAGATCCTGCAGTCCCCTTCTCAATTTTCTCCACGAGTCTAAAACCAATTTTACTAGACTGGGAAAAAACACTCCATCCCGTCACACTTTGAGTAGTGCCCCTGATCTCACAGAAATAGAGTGCTT